GGCGCTGCAGAGGCTGCGGGCAGCTTCGCAACCCAGCGCTCAACCACTGCGCCACCAGGGAGGCCCTCTATATTTATTTTCAACTTCCTTGTGGTATGCTGACAAAAAGTAGTACGATATTTATAGAGTGTACATGGTAGTGATTTGTTATGTGCATATATCGGAAGAATTCCTCCCTTGTTATTGATTAATATATCTGTCTCCTCACATGTTTATCTTTGTGTGTGAGAACATTTACGTTCTCCTCGCGGTAGATTGCAATTTTCCAATAGTGCTGCCGCCGTGTTTGACAGAGGGTCTCCAGACCACATTCATCTTAGAGCTGAGGGTTCATTACCTTTACTGCCTCTTCCCATTACCCCCGATCCCCCACAGATGTTTGTTGATGGACAGGTGTCTAGACCCACCCTAAGCAGGAAAACAGTGTGAATAAACTTGGGGTTCAGGAGTCTTGAGACCACAGGGGGTGGAGGAGGAGCAGGGGTGAATCTGGAAGATCGAGGGCCACTCTCCTGGCTTCCTCTCTGGGAAATGAGCTCACTGGGGTGAATGGTCAGAGCCACGGCCCAGCTCCCAGATCAGGGAGTTTGCCGAGTCTGTATCTTGTATTCCTGCTGCAACATGTGCGGCACCCTGTGGGGAGAAGCCCAGTGCAGGTGTTCTGGAGCCACAGCCATGTCAGGCCGCGCGAAGCATGTGGGGCGCAGAGCTGGGGTGCAGCTTGGTGAGCCGCCTGGCAGATTAGTCCACGAGCTGAAGGGGGGTCCTCTTCTGGGGCTGAGGCAGAGTGAGCCACTCCCCCTGCGCCTGGGACAGATGTTTCTCATAGATTATGATGGGTCTTCTGGAAGGAAACTCAGGCTTTCTTTCCCCCGCCAGCATCTCAGTTAGGGCATCATTGGGGTGACAGGCAGTTCTTCCAGAGGACTTGTGAGAGAAGCAGCAGAGCAAGTGTGGAGACATCGGCAGGTGGGACATCTTGGAGCCCAGAGACAATAAGAACCAATGTCACTGGCGCCTTTAGTCTAGATTCCAGAACCAAACAGCAGGGACAGAGGGGGCCATTTCGGGCCTCTCCTAATGGTCTCAGTTTCTGAATGACCCCAGGCAGGCTTCATAAACCTTCTGTGTTGGGGTCTCCCATCACTTCCAGTTTGGGGTCAGGGATCACTGGGAGGCCGCTATGACATGTGGTAACCCCTGGAGAGTGACACTGTGGTTAAAGGAAACGGGTACTTTGTTCTTGAGCAGGGAAAGTGAACAGTGGACGAATCAGCTCCACGGGGATGACTCTGCTGCCTGGATCCCCAGCACTGAGCAGGGGCTAGGCGCGCGGTGATGTCCTAGAGTGAGAAATACTCTGGTTCTCAACTAGCTGACGGCCCATTCAGGGGAGAAGGTGGACCAGGTGCCATTGCTTTTACAGGGCGGGCGTTCTCATGCGTGACTTGTATGTTGGGGTCTTGAGAAGCCAGGGTGAGTCAGGTGGGGTTTGCAGATCACTGATGCCTGTGGAAGGGGGTGGGCTGTGAGGGTGGAAGATGGAAGTCTTGAGGACAAACCCCTGGACCCAGACAGGACTGGACTTCGTGGTCTGAGGTCTGGTTTTCCCTCTCGAAGCTGTGGTTTCTCCATTAATAACCTGGAGTCCATGAGTTTCTTCCTGTCTTGAAAGTGGTTTGGGGGAGCTGTTCTCATTATTAAAAGTGATGAGTTCCTGATTCTTATGAAAAATTCCTGAGTAAGTGGCATCTATGGCCCCTCCAGTGTGTCTTGTTTGGGCCTGGGTGGGTCATTGGTGGACTCTTGGGAGTGGGTAGGGACAGAGTAGGAGGCCTAGGAGCCAGGTCAGGGATTATTTTTATTCCTCTGTTTGTGGCACATGACCCAGGCTTAATGATGCCATCTGTTCCTCCTCTAGCTCAGCCTGGCAAGGTCCACATGGCCTTGCGGTACTTGGGAAGGAGGAGCAAGAGGGGCTCCTTTTCTGGTGTTGGCTTACCTCTCCCCCACCCCCCCCTTCCACTAGTCTACTAGTCTCAGGGCAGAGGCTACTTGGGAGGTTTGCCTGCTGAGGGAGGCAGCTGCCAGGCCTGGGGCTGCAGGCTGGGAGGCTGGGAGGGTCCAGCCAGTGAGAGCTGTGGACCTGGGGCAACAGAGTCACACAGGTCTGGGAGGCTCTCCATTTTGGTAATGAATCCCGTGGCTCAGAGCCTTGGGTGACCCGCTGCCCTGCTTTCCCTGGGACAGACCTAATCTTGGGGACATGGAGTGCAGATCCTCAAAAAACCTCACCCCTGGGGCAGTGTCTGTCACGAGTTTCTGGTTCTCCCCAGGCCTGGCCTCCCGCTGGACTGCCCCAGGCCCAGCTTTTTGCGGGTGCCAAAGCTGCTTGTTTTCTCCAAGCAGTAGACCTACCTATCTCCGCTCTGGTAAAGGAAGGGTCCAGAGACCACAGCCTCTGGCTCTCAGAGGCTGCTTCTTACGAGAAGTCAGGCATCCCTCCTTTCTTTCTCTCCTAACACTTTGGCCTCCAGAGCTCCCTCCTCCTGAACCCATCTGTGTTTAGTGTCAGGTCCCAGAAGAAAATTAGGCTTAAGCCAGGACGCATAAGGCCTTTTAGGTATTAATATTATTAATATAACAGTAATTAATGGGAGATATTAGGGCTTAAGGTATGTGCATCTTACTGATCCTTTTAGGGCTTTAGACCTTCTGCGCGAGGCATTCATACTTGTGGCTTGGTAATAATGGTGCCTTGTCAGACCCTGTCTAGTTAGCATCTCACCTTATTGGCGATCACATGGACAGTCACCCCTCTCCATGCCACCATGGAGTTCCCCAACCTCTGAGCAAGGCCACTGGGCAAAGTCTCCATGGTATGCCTAGATGCCACTACAGAGTTCCCCTAGGAAGAGGAAGTTCCCCGGGTGCAAGCCACGTGCTTCTGGGACAGAAAGGACCTTAGACCAGCGAGAGCAGCCCCTCTTCTTAATTTTATAGATGAGCAAACTGAGGCCCAGACGCATGGAGGGATTTGACCATGGCCATACGGTTGCTTATACTGACCCTGTCATTTGACTCCCACTCATCACACTTTCATTTTACAGACCTCCCAAATAAATCCCAAAGGCATTTATTGTGCCAAGGTGCAGGCATGTACTGCACTTTCTTTTTTTTTTTAAGATTTACTTATTCACGCATGCAAGAACTGGGGTGTAGGCCAGAGGTGCAGGGGTGTGTGTGTGAGAGGATTCACCAGAGACAGAGCGGGGAGCAGAATAGGTGGAGCAGCGAGCGAGACAGGAGAGGTCTCCTGTGCCATGTGGGTCAGCTCCCTGGCCGGCCAGTCCTCGAACTTGTGCTGCAGTGACTGGCGATAGCTTGATAGTGCTGTCCCTAACCCCTGTGCCACCAGGGAGGCCCTGCACTTTCCTTTTTATTTCCTTACACTAAATCCAGAACATTTCATCCCCACAGAGAAATCATCATTCCACAGAGACCACTTACACATACACATTTGTTTGTTCTTTCATTCCCCAGCTTCGTGCCATGTGCTAAGCCCTGGGTAGAGACAGGAGACCATCCATGTCTTGGAGATGTCCAAAGTGTGGGGAAGAGACCAATAATTCCTGAGAGATGGAGGGTGAGCGGCAAAGCATGGGGGGGTCTATTGGATCCCACAAGAGGGCACCCAATCCAGACCTGAGGTTTGGAGCAGTGTCCCAGAGGAAGCAGCGTTTTGGCTGGACCTTCGAGATGAGTAGGAGTTAGGAAAGTGAAAGCGGGGTGAGGAGGAAAGTTAGAGGCGCGCTTCTACCTTGTGTGGAGACAGAGCTTGGTATGGCAGGCATGTCATTGAATGTGGGGTATTTGAGTTTGGGGCCCGGAGCGGGTACAGAGAGAGGAGTAAAGAGGGAGGTGTTTCTGTCTCATCTGTATGTGTGTCTGTCTCTGTGGTGGGAGGCGTGGAGGATGCATGGAGAGTACCAATTAGCCGACAAAGGGGCCTATAAAACCCCATTGTGGGTGTCTTGTTTTATCCAAGACCATGGGGAAGTCACTGGGAGATTTTAAGTGGATTAGATTTGTATTGTAGAAAAATCACTCTGGCGGCAGTGAAAGTTCATCTCAAGTTCTCCAGGTGAGCACTGGAGGACCCCTGGATGGGGCTCCGAGATAGAGAAATGGCTTTAAGGAGACATTTGGAAGATGACAATTGTGTGGCTGTTAATTGTTTATGGGAGATAAGAGGGAAAAGTCAAAATACAATTCCAGGTTTCTGATCTCCGGGTGGATGGTGGTGTCATTTCTTGAGAGAGAGTAGAAAGAGCAGAATTCACCAGCAAGCTGAAAATTTGATTTGGGGGCATGTTGAGTTTGGCAGCTTTAGAGACTTCTCCTCAGAGATACCTGGTGAGGAGTTGCTATAGAAACCTAAATTCAGGAAAGATAAACAGATTTGGGTTTCAAACACAGGTCGTGGAAGTGTCAATCACTTTATCTAGACCCTGCTTTCCACTGTGTTCACTGTATCCCCAGTGGTATAATTGCTGGATCATTTGGTGATTATATCTTTTTAATTTTTTGAGGAACCATCGTGGTTCCGTCTTGCGCTCCTACCAACAGTGTTAACAGTATCCCCATCCTTTTTGCCTTTGTTGATTTAATGTCTGATATCCTGGCACTTGGGCCTTGTCTCCTACTTCTCAGCCCATCCTGGGCTCAGAGCTGTCTCGGTGGGTGTGCTCATTACCAGGGCGGGGAGCTCAGGTCTGCAGAGGGGAGGTGACCTGCCCTAGATGCCCGGTCTCTCCCAGACCTTTCACTTCACTCTTTGCCCCCCTGGAACTCCTGGCCTTTGACCTCAGAGCCCCCTGTGCTGTGAGTAGCTAGATAAGGAAGCCAACTGCTTTGGGGGCTCGGCACCTCCTGGGTTTGCACCTTACCCCACAGTCCACACAGTTCTTCCACCATTGCCGTGGTTTCTGCCCACACAGGTCCAACGGGCGCTCCTCCAAGCGGAGCCTTGGAGGGCAAGGCCGGCACCATTACCTCCAACGAGTGGAGCTCTCCTAACTCCCCTGAGGGGAGCAATGTGTCTGGGGGCAGTCAGGCATTGGACAAGCCCATTGACAATGACGCGGAGGGCGTGTGGAGCCCGGACATCGAGCAGAGCTTCCAGGAGGCGCTGGCCATCTACCCGCCCTGCGGCCGGCGCAAGATCATCCTGTCGGACGAGGGCAAGATGTACGGTAAGGAGCCCCTCGGCGCAGTTGCAGCGAGGCCACAGAAATGGGCCTTGGTGAGGGCTCAGAACTTTGGGGTTCCCCCCCAAGTGTTGAGGGGATTTCCTCTTGGGGCCTCTATGCTGAGGACTCTGCTTTCTTCTGTGCTGGGTTCCCTTGGGATGGAGGCTGTGAGTGGGTGTGGACCTCAGATCTACTCCTCAGTCACCAGTTAAAACTGCTCATCTGTCCTCACCAGCCCCACTTCTGTGGTTTGCTTGCTTCCCTCTGAATCTCCTCTTATTTCTGCTGGTGGCCCTGCCCTGGCTCAACCCCCATAACACCCCTCCTCCTCTGACCACTTCCTGCTGATGGTTGCTTCATGGGGGAGACAGCTGATGTGCATGGAGCACCTGTTGGGGGCCAGGTATAGGGTTGGGTGCTTTCCACAGGTTACCCCGTGTTGCTGGTGAGGAATGGAGCCTCTGGGACCACAGAACTTTGTACTACTTAGTGGAGAATAGAAGGGGTATGGTTCATGAGTTGAGGTGTGAAGGTGAGTGGGTGTGCAGGGGGGCAAGTCATTCATCTGGAGAGCTATCGGGGTCCCAGATCGGAAGGCCAGGACCGATGCCCAGAGCTCTGTACAGGATACAGCTGTCTGCTTGAAAGGGGCGAGCGGTCTGGCAAACACAAGTGTGCAGGAGGTGTTGACAAAGGGAGAGCGTGAGGGTGTGGGAGTGAGGTGTCTGGAAGGCCCTAGGGAGCGGGGAGAATGTGTGTCAACTGTGAACCAGGCTTTGGAGGCTGAGCTTTTTTTGGTGATAAAATATACATAACATAAAATTTACCCTTTCAACCATTTTTAAGAGCACAGCTCCGCGGCATAAAGGACATTCACACTGTGTGCAGCCCCTCCATCATCCCTCCACAGAACTTTTTCCTCTTCCCAAAGGGAGACTCAGTACCCATTCAACACTCACTCCCCCCTCCCCGTATCCCCTGGTAACCTCCTGCTACTTCCTCTCTGTGTGGATAGGGTTACTCTTAAGTACCTCGCATAAGTGGGATGGCAGTGTTTGTCCTGTGAGCTGCTGACTTCACTTAGCATGGAGTCCTCAGGCACTTCCATGTTTGTAGTCTGTGCTAGAGTTTCCCTCCTTCTTTTGTTTTTTTAATATTTATCTATGTATGCATATAAGAACTGAAGTACAGGTCAGAGATGCAGGGGGTGAGAAGATTCACCAGAGACAGAGCAGGGAGCAGAACAGGCAGACTGACTGAAATACACTGCTGAGGGGAGCAGCGGGGGATACAGGACAGGTCTGCTGCGCCATGTGGGTATCTCCCTGGTGGGCTGGGGATCGAACTTGTGCTGCAGAGGCTGAGGATAGCTTCACAGTGCTGTGCTTAACCCCTTGCACCACCAGGGATGCCCCAGTTTCCCTCCTTTTACCAACTGACTAGGGCTCCACTGGATGCATAGTCTGCACTTTGCTTGTCCAGTTCACCTGCTTATGGCCATCTGGGTGGGTGCTTAGTTTTATTGAGTCATTAGAGGCAGCTCTCTCTGTCCCCATTCCACATGTAAAGGAATTGGGGTTAAGGGACTATCTTCAGTTGTCAGACAATTGTGACTGAGCCTGGGTTTGGGCAAAGTGAGGCTGTGGACTCCCACAAGCCTGGGGTTGGGATTCTGTCTGGCAGGAGGGAGCTGTTGCCTGGGGATGAAGAGGTTTCTGGCCTAGTGGATGCCCCCTGTGTGGTGCTGCTTCCTTCTGCTGAGAAAGGGCAGGGCAGAGTGTGGGGTGACCTGAGGTCCTGAGAGGAAGAGAGAGGAGGGGGCCAGCCAAGAGCCTCCTAATTATGGTAAGAGCAGGTGCTCTTGGTGCTCTTTGACATCCGCTATCTCCTTAGTCTTTTCAAGGGAAGGGAGAGAGGAATTTTAACGTCTGCTTGCAGATGTGAAAATGGGAACCCAGAGGAGCCAACAGTATCTCCCAGAGTCTTGGCTAGTCAATGGGAGAGTGGGGGATCCCCATCACCCCCCAATGGCCTTTGTGGGCCTGGTGAATCCAGCCCCAACCTCCCTCTCCTTCTCCTGCCTCCTCCTGCTTGGCCTTGGCCCCAGGTGGGTCAGGCTCTGGGCAGGGGGCCTGGAGGCTGCTGGGCAGTGTCTGATGACTCCCCACCCCCACAGCACCTGTCCTCTGAGAGTACTGACCCCGCTGGGGCCCAGACGCTGGCTCGGCCCCATCTCCTCTTACCAGGCACAGGGGCTATGCCAAGGCAGGACACGCAGGGAGCTGGTGGAGGGGCTGTCCGCAGTGCTGACCAGTCCAGCTGGGAGGTATATATAGACGTGAGCTCAGCCAGTGTGTGGGATGGGCCCCAGGAAGGCAGAGATAGGGGACGATCGCCAAGCTAACTCAGACTCGTCTGCTCTGACTGCTCTCCTCCGCGTTCTCATCTCCCCTTGAGACCACTCTTGCTGGCCCTGGCTCCATTGGGGGTCCCTAAGACCCCAGGCTTTTCAGTACCCCACTTCTGCATCCAGAGACAGTCAGTTCTCCAGGAGGGCCAGCCAGTAGGGCCCTGAGAACAAGCAGGTGGGAGCAGGCCTCAGGAGGAAGAGCAGATCACCTCCACGTGCCCAGAGGCGGGTTCTTGAACGGGAGATGCTCAGGGCAGGGGTTCGGCCTGCTCCCAGAGCGGGACCCGCTGAGGGGGCCAGGCAGACATGCAGATGATGCACGGCGCAGAGGGACAGATTAGCACCTGTTATTTCTGAGCTGAGCCGCCCCCGCTGTGGACCAGCTCCCTGGCGGGGGCTGCTAACCCTCTTCTGTTCTTGGCTGCTGTCATTTTTGCCCTGTCACTGTGTGACCCTCATCCTGGCACTGTCTCACTGGCCACTCTGGCCTCTTGTAGCCAGTGTGGCCTCAGGTCGCCGGGGCAGGTGGTGGGGTGAGCATGGGGCAACCTCTTGCCCTCACCGCACAGCTCAGCCCGGGCCCTGGCTGTCTTGCTTTCTCCCCTCTTGCTGGCTCCATCCTCCTCTGTGCACTTGCTCGTTTCTGCCCACGATGCCTCTCTTCTTTCTGCAGGTTGCTTTTGAACTTGCCTCTCTTCTGTCTGTGTCTCTGCTGCTCTCCTTGGTCGCCCTGGGTGCCTGGTGCCAGGACTTCCCATTCCTGTTCGCAGTCAGTCGGTTCTTCCCGTGTGCCCACCCCTGTGAGGTGCCTGTGCTCTCTGTACTCTAGAGCTCGTGCCCAAGTGGGGGAGAGGCAGGAGAAGTGACTTTGGAAAGTAAACTAGCCACCCAGGCAGGCGCTTGCTGTTGTATATACAGCTCATAGATGAGGGGGCTGGGTTATCTTGGAAGTTTTCTGGAAGGAAGTGAAGCGTGAGCTGGGTAGAGGAGGAGGGTGCCCCGGCAAGGAGGGAGAGAAGAGGGAGCATTGGCCTAGAGGTGGGGTTTTGTGTGGTATGTTTGTGGGGCCCCAGCAGGGGATCTGGACAGATCCATTCGCAGGGAAGGCTCCTTGTTTGGGATGCATCACACAGGAAGTGGCAGGCACTGGCTCCAGGTCAGTGTCCTTGCCGCTGAGGGGACAGGCGAGGGGTCAGTGAGCCTCAGTTCAGCTTCTCCTGCCCCCCTGCCTCCTTCACTGTGTTCCTTGTTTCTCAGTTGCTCTCAGTTGTAACCCTGAGGTTTCCAGCTGCCTCCATTCGCCCCTCTATGGGCGCCCAAATTCAAATACCGCCTACCCTGCCCATAGCCCATGTGACCTTAGGCATCTTGGTTACCCTTTTTTAGCCTCAGTGTCTTTTGAAAATGGGGGCTGGTATTACTACTATAACCTTTTTTGGGGGGGTTATTTTTATTGTGAGAAAATAAACATTCCACAAAATTTATCTTCTTAATCATTTTTAAGTGTACTGCTCAGTGGCACTAATTCCTTTTGCTTTGCTGAACTGTCCTCTCCATTTCTGTCTCCCCATAGCCCCTGGCAACCTCTGTTCTACTTTTGGTCTCTACAAAGTTGCCTGTTGTAGATACCTCACAGAAGTGGAGCTGTATAAGGCTGTCCTGTGTGTGCCTTCTTTCTCTTCACAGTGTCTCTGAGGAGCACCCCTGTTGTGGCCCGTGCCACACATTCATTCCATCTCTTTTTTATAGCTGAGTAATATTCCATTTTATGGTTAGACCACATTTTATGTATGTACTCATGGGTACTTGAATGTTTCCACCTTTGGGCTATTGTAAATAATGCTGCTATGAACTTGGGTGGACAGGTAGGTGAGTCCCTTCTGGCAATTCATTCAGGTAAATGCCTAGAGATGAAGGTGCTGGATCACATGGTAATTCTATGCTTAGCTTTTTGAAGGCTCACCTACCTATCTTCCATTATGGCTGCACCATTTTACATTTCACCAGCCATGCACAAGGGTTCCATTTCTTTGCATCCTTGCCATCACTTATTATTTTCCAAGGAAAAAAAATAGCTATCCGGGGCCTCCCTGGTGGTGCAAGGGGTTAAGCACCGCACTATGAAGCAATCTGCATCCTCTGCACATGAGTTTGATCCCCGGCCAGCCAGGGAGAAACCCACATGGTGCAGCAGACCTCTCCTGTCTCGCCCGCTGCTCCCCTCAGCAGTGTACTTTGGTCAGTCTGCCTGTTCTGTTCCCCACTCTGTCTCTGGTGAATCCTCTCACCCCCTGCATCTCTGGCCTGTACCACAGCTCTTGTATGCATAGATAAATAAATCTTTAAAAAAAAAAATAGCTATCCTAGGGGGTGTGAAATGAAGCCTTGTAGTCTTTTGCGTTTCCCTCGTGATTATTGATGTCGAATATCTTTTCTTGTGCTCCAGTGTTGCTGCAGGGGCGCTTGCGCATAGTAGATGCCTGGGAGACTGTAGAGCTGCCTGGGACATGTGCCTACCCTCAGGGGGTCACATTTTAGTGAGATAAGACCCCACATAATTTTTGCATAGGACCATGAGAAAGGCATAGGCCCT